TGGGTCGATGGTTGGACTCGATGATCTTAGAGCTCTTTTCCAACCTTAATGATTCTATAATTCTATAAAATGTCACTGATGCTACACTGAAGACACAGATCTTTACGTACTTTACAATGACCCAGTAGAAGAAAAATCTCAGAGCTGCAGAAATAGCAAGTCAACCATTCAAAAAACACCTGTGTCTATTATACACATAGAACCTGGAGCTTGCTGGGGCCTATTAGAGCCGAAGAAGCTGTGTTTAAGGGAAAGCAATTAGCTTTGGCAATTCTTCAGTTATACCAAGAGTGACAACGAACATGCCGTTCTAAGGAAATTCACATAAGAGTGAAGCGTTGTGACCTTTGAAGAATTGTTTTCAAATGACTGGCAATGTAACTGTTACTATATTTCTACCTTGATGATTAAGCATGATATTTTCTGGCTTCAGATCACGGTAGATGATTCCTTTTTGATGCAAGTGCCCCAGTGCCATTGAGATTTCTGCCAAGTAAAAGCTGAAAGGAAACATATGCCACAAAATTAAGACATACTCAATCATGCAAAGCATCTTGAGCACTAAGACTACTACATACATAGCAACGGTTCCTAGAAAGTATCATTAGAAGTGTATGAGAGAATAAATGAGAGAAACAATGATGCCTTTGAGGTTGGTTTGCCAAAAGGCATACAGACTCCAAGATGAACTACAGAATTACGCCATTACCATTAGGTTTACCTGTTCAGTAGCTCTCTTATCATGAATATATTTGGAGGAATCTGAATTTACCAATTAGTGGTTAAAATATGTTTCAATCTGTATTACCACATCTAGATGGCAAAGTTGAAGAAAAAAAATAAAGCTAAGAAGATAACTGGCAGCACCCAGAGTGCTATCTGTGGAACAGTATTACAGCCCCGCATGTACATCAAAGCTTTTCTACGGCATTATCGGCATGCACTGTAGGAAGATACAACTGTATTCAGTTGTGTGAAGCCTAATCGATAAGGGATAATTTCAACTTGTTTATATGTGAAATATCACTACTCAAAAGGCTTTTTCTCCTTCATTAGCATAATTACCTTTATCACTTCACACATCCGATTGTTAGAATACAGCTGTTACAGTGACTTGGAAATCCTGTAACTGGCTGGTAAAATTGTGTGTGGATCAAGAACAAAAAAAAATTGCATTTACAGCAAGTTTTTGACAGTCTTTTCTCTAACACTCAAAACACCTCCTTTACCGCAACCCTACGTAATACAGCCTCACTCAGCAACCAGCAATGGACCCTCTTCTGTAGTAAGACTAGCACAAACGGGTAAGTACAGAACACATACGTCTTCCCAAAACCCAGTTAACTGCTCTTTTCACTAGACTAAGAAATGAATGAGTAGTTACAGTTTTTCAAGCCAGAATATACCATTTAAGCAATTAATTTACCAAAATAGTTTCACTTACCAAGCTGTGTCTTCCATAAATATCCCTTCTCTCTCTAACTGCATAAATAGTTCTCCTCCTGTCATGAGAAAATATACTCTATTAATGTGTAGTCTATCATTTTTAGTCAGTCAAAAGTCTATTTTCTAGAAAAACTATAAGCAACAGGTATTCTGTCCTGCTCAGAAAGCTGAGCTGTTTCACAAAAAAAACCTGAGAATTTACTATTCTGCTATTCTCAGAATTCTAGCAACTAAAGAAATGCCAAAAGAAATCAAAAGAGCACGCTGAAAAAAATAACAGCATTTCTGTCCCTGTTTTTTCCTATTGTTATAACTTGAGCAAATTGCTTCTAATCTGTGCCTGTTTCTATCCGTGAAATAAAGATAACGCTGTCTTGTTTCACAAAGAACCTGCAAGGACCAAAACCTCAGGTACTCCGTATGACTGCATAGGATCTAAGCGTAACATACAGGAATTACAAGCCTGATGGAAGAAAAGGTATTAAAAATCTTCCCCTCCTGTACCATCATGAAAAGTAACTGTTTTATGTTTCATTCATCTTTATTTTATTGAATTGGAAGGTTTATTTATGTTATTCTATGTATTCTTAATGCTAACCTATTTTACATTTTTAAGACGCCATGCCAATAGTTAGCTGGCTTTTTATAAGTAGAATAAGAAATCCAAATTCTCAATTATATAAGATACCAGGAAGCAGGTAACACAATTTCATATACTGACCACTGAGATACTCAAGGATGAGGTAGAGTTTTCCACCAGTCTGAAAGGCGTAAATTAAGTCTACGATGAAGGGATGTTTCACTTCCTCCAGTATATTCCGCTCTGCTTTTGTATGAGCTGTATCCTTTGCATTCCTTACAATCATTGCCTACAAAAAGCAGAGAGATTTGAGCACAAGAACATGCTAACCAAGGCAGACTTTTATACTTGATTCCCTTCTGAGTTTACTAAATCACAACACTACGTATGATTCAACAACATAATGCAAAAAAAAAGAAAATTTCATCATCATGTATACATAACATGACGAGTTTCTTGTGGAAGTTTAATTCTTTATTTATTTCATAGAATCATACAATAATTTAGGTTGGAAGGAACCTCCTGAGCTATTTAAATTAGCTGCTAAGAACTACACACAGAACAATTTAAAGGCTAATTATAATTCCAACTGTACCTGGATAACAACTGTGTATATCACAGATAAAGTTTAATTTTAGGTATATTATATAATTAGGTAATTGTAATAGCTAAAGGGAGGGATAGATTTTTTTTTTTTAGATTCAGACAGTAGCGAAACGTGAACATTCAGGTTACCTTTTTAAGAACTTTCATGGCAAATATTTTCCCGGTGTTTGCTCCAGTTACTTTTCGTACTTGAAATACCTATACAACACCAATACAAAAGCAATCACATATTATGACCGCATTAGACATCTTAAGTTAAAAACAAAAGTTCTGCGAAAAGAGAGATGAGATCACCTACAAACTGCAATGCTGCCTGAAGGAGAACAGCTAGTGATTGGAACCAAAACCAGTTTGGGACATTTTCTACTGCCACCAGCTGTGAGGCTCTGCCAGCGACCTCGGTCCCACGACACCAACCTTGGCAGCCCTGAGGTTACCTTCTGGTAGAAGGAACTTTTCAGAAAACAGGATGGGAAGATTAGACCTTGCCAAAGGCAGCAAGCAAGCGCTTTAACTGCCTTCAGCGTAATGGATTTACTTCTGTAGAAAAGAGTTCCTTACCTTTCCATAGCCACCTTTGCCAAGTACGCGCAGTAACTCAAAGCACTCTGGTCGGATCTTTTCTGGACCTCTGTTTACACTAGTTTCTGAAATCTCAAATTTTTCACAATGTTCCATGCCACTGGGATAAAACCGAAACAAGAATATAAGGCTATCTGATACTCAAAAATGATCAAATGAAAGTAAGCAAGCAAATTACTTTCTGAAAAGCATACAGTATATCTGACATAACTGAATGACTGCTTTGGAGATTTGGAGAATTCTCAGCATCAGAAATTTTATTTAGGTGTGCGCAAAGCAGAAAGTTGCAACTTGCACAGAAAAGATCACCTGCAAATTTTGGGGATTTGCAGTATCAAGATTTCCTTCAGATTCCTTCATTTTTATGCATAATACATCTCTGTATTATACCAGAATTAAGTTTAAAAGACCAAAGCCTCAAACTGACTTAGACATTCCTACAAGACCTCAAGTAAAAGCAAGGCTATAAGGTGTGTTTAATTTTCAAATCATATTCAGCAGCCCCAACAGTCATGGTGAGACTTCTATAACACACATCTTGCAGAAAAAGCTGTAACAAAAAACGTCTCACAACTCTGAACATGCCACAAAAGAAGACTGAACCATAATTTAATGATGCTTCTACATTATGCTGCAGTTTTGCAAAAGACTAACAGATTGATCCTGCTAAGTGTGTTTAATTTTCAAATCATATTCAGCAGCCCCAACAGTCATGGTGAGACTTCTATAACACACATCTTGCAGAAAAAGCTGTAACAAAAAACGTCTCACAACTCTGAACATGCCACAAAAGAAGACTGAACCATAATTTAATGATGCTTCTACATTATGCTGCAGTTTTGCAAAAGACTAACAGATTGATCCTGCTAAAGTAAATGTAACTCAACTGTTTTAACTATCGCTGCTTTCTTCTCACAACATGGTATGCTGAAACAATCTGGAAATCTGGAAATGAAGTATTGCTAAAGGTAGCCGTCTCCTGAACTTCAAATCAGAACTTCTGAATTCTCATCGGCTTCAGACTGCTACGCAAATCTGCAACTGGAGCCTTTATAAAATGAGCAGAATGTACAATGTTCTGCAGACAGTGCATTACATTGATATTACAAATATTATTCAAGTACGATAGATAATATTAGGAGAAACAAGGATTAAAAGACAACAGCAAGTTTTGCCAGAATTTTTTTTTATTATTATTATTTTATTTCAAGATACAACTCACAAATTTTAATGTGAAGAAATAGTGAAACTACTAGAAACAACTCAAAATTGAACAAGAATGACAAAATTTTCTATTTAACTTAACAATGTAACAAAATTAGAAGTTATATGTGGTTGGCATGAATGGTACAGAACATTTTCTAGCAGCAACTTACAGGTCATATTGGCCAACTCCTCCATGGTCCATGCTCTCACTTAATTGACCCTGGGGATGGGAGGGGTAGAAGGAAGATTAATTATAACAAAAGAAAAAAAGCAGTGTTAAAAATAGATGCACTGATGTGTTTTACAACTCCTTATATATATATAATGATTATATATAGAATTATATTTTATATTATATAATTAAATAAGCCTAAAGGTCAGGAATAATAAATTATCAGTAGAAGATAAGAAATCTACAAAATTCTGTGCAAGATTTGCAATACTTCCACATATCTCAAATGGTGACACATGGAACCACTGTTTTACCTGACTGCGTTGTTACTCAATCACTTAAAATATTAGAGGTAACAATTTCACACACCCCCAAGTGAATCTGAAAAATGCTAAGGTACTGCTTTTTTTTTTTTATAGTTGCTTTTACATTGAATTTTAAAATCCTATTACAGTATTATGCAAATTAGAACAATAATAAAGATTATGTGACTAGATGAACTGGGATTCATATGCACTAGAACCAAATAATCTACTGAGGTTTTATTATTCTATATTGATAATAATCAAATCCCAATAGGGATGAAAGAATTAAGCTTTACTCTGATGCTAAAAATCTTTTCTGACCAATAATTGTTCAGATAGATCAATGCATGCAAATATTACTAAAGAAGGCTCAAGCACTTCAACATCAGAACTAGTCACCATTAAAGAATGTAGTTCAATTCTGAAGAGATATTTTCTTCAAAGAATTTTCAACTTGATCCCTTATGCAAGATAATACTTCCCTATAACTGTGGCTCTACATGGCAAAAGAAGTGCAAACCAAGCAGATAGCTGGAATGAATGCAAATAGACTTTAATGGGCAAGCTTCTAATAAGCTTTATACCATACCTTAACATTTTTATTTTTAAAAATATGTACATAACAACTGCAAGTTGGTGAGGAACAGCCTGGAATCTACAGGCTGAATAACAATATATTGAGTGACGTGCGAAATTCAGAGAATCAGAAAGAAAAAAAACAACATCGAGATCTGCAAAAAGCAGATCAAGCCAAGGAGTGCATTTTTAAGTATTATATAAGTGAAAACACTAACCGAATAAAATTAGAAACTTTCAATAGCTTCCAAACCATTTAAACATTAACGTTTACAGAGGCTGGTTTATTTTGGTGGGTGATCTAGAGGGGAATTTAACCCCTGGTTCCACCTACTAGCACCACAAGCAATTACAGAGTCCAAAAGTTCAAGTTTGTTTCCAGGTCACAGAGTTGCTAGCTCATGTCCTCTTGATAACATTTATTAGAGAAACCCAGCTTACTGACATCTGTTTCACAATAAAACCCACTAAAGCTGCCCTTGACCCTACCATTAGATGCCAACAAATGAATTAAAAAAAAATTCAGCAAACACGGAGAATAAACACCCATCACGTTCCTAGAACACCTTCTCAAGTTACCCAACGGTTCTGGCAAAGTTCACACATGCTATTTTTGCCCCTGTGAACTACGGTTTTCTTTCTCAGTATGAACAAAATTCGCTTTAGATACCATTCCACTATTTTCAGGATTCCTTCTCATTTCACAAAACCAAGAAATGCAATGGTATTCTGGCTGGAATGCTAGCAGTCCTTCAGTCTATACTTATGTTTTCATTTATCACAAACACAAAGATTAAGGCTGGTTTTTTCACCATTATAATTAACGCAAACAACTGTATGGCTTATGAGTAAACTCTCCATTTAAACGATTCTTCAGATTTTCTAGACTGGCCGTGCCTATTCAAAACGACAACGGATCTGTTCTTGCTACTACTAGGCTTACACCTTTCAGGAGGTACCAGGGACCAGCACCACAGAGATTAAACAAGATAGTCCAGACTTTACATCTCGCTCACTTCCAGTTTAATGATCTCAACTGCTCTGGCTGCGACGTCGTCTTTCTGATCCCTGTAAGACATGCACGACGCCTAGAGATAACTTTCAGTTAAACATTTTTCCCCTTACACTTTCCTGACGCTTCCCCTTCTTTCCTGCTCTTATATTCCCTGCTTTTCAGTTCTGTTTTAATTTCAAGTCCGTTCTCATCCTCCTTTATCTGTTTGCCAAAAGGCACCTAAGAAACAAATTAGGTTGCCAGTGTGCATTCGAGACCACAGTTCTGCCATAAAGATTTCAGTCACAGCAATTTTTTTAAATTCACAATAACTAATGAGTTTTTTAATTGCTCCCTGAGACTGAATTATTGGAACATGAGAGAGAACAAATTCAACTTTCTTGCCACCCCCCTCAGACCTTGTTCTTGGCAACATTAACAGTGTGATGGAAGCGACATTTTTTTTAAGCCAAGTACTTTATTGATTATTGAGGTGACAGACAGTGCTTTTTCCTGCAGGTTGAGAAGCGTTCAAGCCTTCAGCTGTCAAACAACGTCTCTACAGTTTATATGCAGTGTGGGTATTCCAACTGTGATACAGAGTATCTGGTTATCTCAAAGACTCCACGACTGTCGCTAGTATTTAAACAGCAAAAAATAAATGCAGTAGCAGTTTAAGCAACAGCAAGTGTTTAATATACAAAACAATGTAAAAAAGCAACAGCAGCACTAGAAAAATATAAACAGAGATCTCGTAATAAAATTCCCCCAAACCCTTAACAGGATCTATACGAACATTACAAAATGACAAACTACAGATTACAGGGCGAACCGTTTACGACAGCATGAGATGGAGATGCACGTTGATCCATGCGGACGTCTAATGTAGCGTTTTAAAGCTCTGCTTTTAATTTTGCCGCCAGAGCAACGGCTTCATACAGTTCCAGAAAGATTAGCGTTTCTGCACTGACGTTAAAACATGTGACAAGAAAAAAAACCCCGCTGCGGCACTTCTGCTAGGAAATCCAACGCAAAACTTCCAAGGCAAAAAGCTCCTGCAAGTTTGGCGCAGCCTCACCAGCCAGCCGGAGCGCAACCGCTGGCCGCCCGCCCTGGGCGG